GTAGCTTTGTAGTACACTTTAAAGTCAGAGTGTATGATACTTTCAGTTTTGTTCTTATTCCTCAGGATCGCTTTGGCTATTTGAGGTGTTTTGTGGTTTCATACAAATTTGAGGATTTTTTGTTCTCTTTCTGTGAGAAATGCCACTGGTGTTTTGACAGAGGTTATATGAAATCTAGATATCACTGTAGATAATATAGTCATTTTAACAATGTTAATTCTTCCAATCCATGAGCACAATTGCTTTCCATTTCATTATTTTTTCTTCAATTTCTTTCAACAAATGTCTTGAAGATTTCAGTGTATAGGTCCTTCACCTCTTTTGTTAAGCTTATTCCTAGAGATTTTATTCTGTTGTTGCAATTGTAAGAATATTTTGTTGTTAGTATATAGGAATGCAACATCTACTATATTGATTTTGTGTCCTGCAACTTTACTGTATTTGTTTATTGTTTCTAACAGTTTTTTTGGTGGGGGTGTAGGGATGAAGTCTTTAAGGTTTTTTAATATATAGAATCATGTCATCTGCAAATAGACAGTTTTATTACTCCACTCCCAATTTGGATGCCTTTATTTCTTTCTTTTAACTAATTGCACTGGCTAGGATTTCCACTACTATCTTCAATAGCAGTGATGACAGTGGGCATCCTTGTTTTGTTCCTGATATAAAAGGAAAAGCTTTTGGCTTTTCACCATTGAGTACGATGTTTACTGAAAGTTTGTCATATGTGGCTTTTATTATGTTGAGGTTGTTTTCTTCTATATCCATTTTATTGAGGGTTTTTAAAAATCATATATGGATATTGTATCTTGACAAATACTTTTTCCACATGTATTGATATGATCATATGATTTTTATCTTTTATTTTGCTAATGTACATAGTACATTCATTGATTTTGCATATGTTGAACCATCCTTGTGCCCCCGTAATGAATCCCACTTAATCATGGTGTATTATTTTTTAATATATTCTTGTATTCGATTTGCTAGTGTTTTGTTTAGGATTTTTGTATCTGTATTCATCAGAAATACTGGTCTCTGTAGTAGTTTTGTAGTAGTTTTCTACTGTTATCCTTGCCAGGTTTTGGTATTAGGGTTATGTTGGCCTCTTAAAATGTTATTATGGAAGTATTGCCTGTTCTTCAATTTTTGGGAGAGTTTGAGAAGGATAGGTATCAAATTTCCTTTGAATGCGCAGTAGAATTCACCCTTGAGGCTATTTCCTGGACATTTATATTTTGGCAAGTTTTTGATGATTGTTTCCATTTCTTTACTGTATATTTCAGTTTAGATTTTCCATTTCTTCATGATTCAGTCTAGGAAGGCTATATATTTCTAGGAACTTATTCATTTCTTCTAGGTTATTGAATTAGGTGTCATATCTTTCATAGTATTCTAGTATGATCCTTTGTATATCTGTTATGTGTGTGGTAACTTTCATTTCTGATTTTATGAGTCTTTTCTCTTTTTTCCTTACTGAGTCTAGCCAGGGGTTGTCAATTTTATTAACCTTCTCAAAGAAGCATTGTTGCATTAATTTTTGTACAGTCTTTTTTTCTCTATTTCATTCATTTCTGCTCTAATTTGTATTATTTCCTTTCTTCTTCTTAGAGTTGCTTTTGTTCTTTAAGATTTAATGTTAGGTTGTTACTTGGGGTTTCTCTTGTTTTTTGAGGTAGGCCTGTAATGATATAAACGTCTCTCTTATTACTACTTTTGCTATATCCCCGAAGTTTTGATGTCATATTGTCATTCTCATTTGACTCTATACAGCTTTTGATCTCACCTTTTATTTCTTCTTTGACTCAGTCATTTTTTTAATAGTATGTTATTTAATCTCCATATATTTCTGTGTTCCTTTACTTCCTTTTTGCAGTTGATTTCTAATTTCAAAGCATTGTGGTCAGAGAATACGCTTGGTATCCTTTCAATCTTCTTGAATTTGTTGAGGCTGGTTTTGTGACCCAACATATGGTCTATCCTTAAGAATGTTCCACATGCACTGGAGAAGTATACATAATCTGATGTTCTGGGATGAAATGATTGCTTATTATCTTCACTTATCTGTACATGTTCAGTCCTTTTCCTTCTCCCTTTATATGATTTTGTTGTCACAAATTATTTTTTATGTTGTGCATTCACTACCAAATTGTAGTAATTTTTAATGCCTCCCCTTTCCCACATAAACTTTATTATATTTAAGCATTTAATATCCTTCTCTGAAGTAGGGTTGCAATTTTCTGCTGCGTTTGTTTGTTAGTCACATTACTAAAGTTTTATCTACTTTTGTCTTTTTGTTTCCAATAGAACAGCTCCTTTCAACACTTCTTAAAATGCAAGTCTTGTGGTGGTAAATTCACTCAGCTCTTGTTTGCCTGGGAAACCCTTTATTTCTCCATTATATCTAAAAGTAAACTTTGCTGGATATATTATCCTTGGCCCATTTTTCCTTTCATTCAGTATTTTGAATATTTTCTTCCACTCTCCCTTTGCATGTAATATTTCTACTGAAAAACAGGATTGTAATCTAATGGGGTTTCCTTTATAGGTTACAATCTATTTTTTCCCCTGGCTACCTTGAAAATTCTTCATAAGTGTCTAACAGTGTGAATTAAATGTATCTTGGAGTTCTTTTAATACTGACATCATTGTATTCTATTAGCATCCCCTGTTCTAAAGCACACTTCTTTTCAAAGGCTGGGGAAGTTCTCCTCCGTTCTTTATCTGACTATGCTCTCTGTTCCATTTCCCTGCTTTTCACCCTCTGGTATATCTGTTATACTTACATTGCTCTTCCTAATGGAGTCAGATAGTTCTCACAGAGTTCTTTCTTATTTTTTCTTTAATTCTTAGTTCTCTCTTTTTCCTTGGTCATTTCTAGGTTTCTATCTTTAAGCTTGCTAATTTTTTTCCTTCATCTGATCACCTGTTTCTGTTGCTGTCTAATACAACCCTCTCATTTACTGAGTTCATCAGCTCTAGAATTTGCTGAGGTTTTTTTTGTAATTTCAGTCTCTTTGGTAAAGTACTCCTTTTGTTTATTATTTTTCTTCCTAGGCTGATTGAACTGTCTGAGTACTCTTGTAACTCTGAGCTTCTTCATAACTGCAATATTAAATTCTGTCATTTAAACAGTCTTCCATGACTTTGAGTTTGGTTTCTAGAGACTTCTCATATTTTTTCTGTGTTCTCATATTACCTTGTTCATAGTATTTTGATGGATGGTTTTTCTGCTTTCACATTTGAGGGTAACGAGCTCTTTTCTTGTTTATATACTGTTTTGCAGTCACCAGTTCAGCAGGTTGATAAGTAGGGCACATTATTTTGTTTTCCAGTACATTGTGTTATAGCAGAAGTTTTTGTTTTCTCTTACCTACACCACTTGCACCGCCGGGAATGCAGTGTAGCAGCGTTACTTCAGTTAAAGGAAATGCCATGTACCCCCAGGGATGGTGGGTGTCCCCTCTATGACCAGCTTGCCTCAGTGATGGGGCATTACCGCTGTGGTGGGGGCATGTGGTGGGCGGTGGAGAACTGGCTTGTGAGCTCCCGGCACTACCTCCCTTTCCATAATGGCCCCTGGCCCTCTGTGTTTTTGGAGCTATCTTCATTACCTTTACCAGGCTCTGCCAAGATGGGCATCGACAGGGGAGACTCACAATTCCATGGCACCACCACACTGCTTAACTCTTCTCTGTCTGGGTCTCTGGGGTCGGGTGGGGCAAGGGGGGAAAGTTTGCGATCATGCAGCCCCTCTCCGCTAGCAATGGCTGTTGGCACCTCTTACTGCCTGGGGCTTGTCAGCTTTCTTTACTAGCCCCTCTGGGATGGTTTGGGGCCCAGGAAACAAGTTTCCTCTTGTGGCTCCACCCCTCTGCCCATCCAGGAATGGCTGTTGGCAGTGCTGCGTTAAGGTTCCCAGTCACCTACCTCTACCAGGATCTGTTGCGATGAAGAGGGGAGAGCAAGATGCCTTTTCTCAGGGACGAGTGCTTCTGCCTCTTTTACAATCCAAGCTATAGCGTAAGAGCTGTAGCCCGACTCTTCCCCCTGCTACTGTGCTTACTGGAGCCTCAGTGGGCACTGAACTGTGTCCTGTCTTTCCCCACCTACCCTACTCATTCCAACCTGCCCACCTTCAGGTGTTCCACTGTGTGGATCATTCAGGAATATTCGAGTGTTGAACAGGTGATCCTTTGTTGAGTTATAGTTGTCTGGCTTATACATTGAAGGGGAGAAAGAAAGGAGTTTTCTCACTCCTCTGTGATGCTGATGTCTAGGAGGGACCTTTTATCTTTTCAAAGTCAGTGTATGAAATTCTCAAAGTGCCTTAGGCTCGATGGTAATCTACGTTGATAAGCCACCTTAGGGAAGGCAGATCCTTTCCAGGAATGGGTGACAAGATTCCCAGTGGAGAATCAGTTTGCCTTTGAGGTGGATGGCAATGAGGGAGCAGGAAGCTCATCACAGAGTAAGAACTCTGGAAATTAGAAGAAGATATTAGGAGACTTACCACTCCCTCAGATCATGAAAACGGAAATTTGAGGCAATCTTGTCTAGATGTAAAGAAAGCTCCCCCTGGCATCCAAAATACTATGTTCCATGTTTTCCTTGAGAGCATTCAACACCCTGAGTCACAACCAAAGCTGTTTACTCATATGGTAGGCATTCATAAAAGTCCGTTGAACTCTATGGCACAGTCAGCCCAATTAAAATGTTAGCATTCCACTGGAGGTCACATAATGATTTAGATTTTTTACAGTACCTTGAGCATGTGCTAGAAACTTAAAAGATTCATTGAAAAAGCTTAGTCTGATAATCTGTCAACTTCAAAGCTGGAAACAAATATTCTGCCAAGATAGGCAAATTAACTTTTGTTGTAGGGAAAATGAAATCAAATCACAAACTGGTCACATAAGAGGAACAGTGTCCCTCATTTTTATTGATAAACATAGTAGACAATGGCAAGATTCAGGCCCTGGGCTGTCCATCTATGTCATTCAAAATTGGAGCTAATGCTAAATGTAGGAAGGCTTCCACAATCTTACTACTGATTTCTAAGTGTGTTCTCTGATCTCCGTCTTGCTTATATGTGTATATAATCTTTTCCCCCCAATAATATATGAGCTTCTAAAATACAGAGGCTAAGTTTTTAATTTCTTTAATATTTCCCCTCTGGTAAATTTCCTTCTGATGATTTTTAAATAATAGAATTGTTTAATTTTAATCTATATGAATTAAAAGAACATAGGAAGGTTTTGTAACACAAACTAATTTTAAAATATTCTTAAATATTCAAAAATTTTTACTACATTATAATGTGTGAGTTGAATATCTGAATACCCCATTGTGACCATGTGTAAAAACATGCCTTTGCTTTTATGTTTAAGATGATAAGTCATCTGCATTACTATCATCATACAGGAGCATTATGGTATTTAGAGACTATTAGAAATCTTATTTAGGAAAAACATTTTGGAGGAAAAAAAAAAAAACACTGAGATTAAATAATTTATTACCAGGGCTAAGATGAACACATATACTTGATACTCAATTTTATGCAGAACTTTAAAAAAATAGTTTTAATACAGTATCAAAATTTACACAAGTATTTTGTCAAAAGACCAGTGTTCCTTGTATTAGCTTCTGCAGGCACAAAAACTTATTTTAAATGTCTTCAAAGTGTAGGAATACAACAATTTAAGCATAAAAGATTTCCTAACAAGAGAAAGTGTAAATATAGCAAGCAGTTTTCTTTTATGTTTTTAAAATATTACTACCCTGTAAAAGAAATACAGGCTTAAATGGTGACCCAATTATGATAATTAGATTATTCGGTAGTAAATTAACTGAAATATTTTCTGAAAGCAGAAGGCTGGTTTTTCATCACAATAACATTTTAAAAACTATAGTTCATCACAAAAACATTTAAAAACTAATGAAATTTCTTCAACAATGACAATTAATAAACTGTAATGAGCCCATTTAAAAACAGAATATCTGACATGAAGCAAATATGAGTACTATAGAAGAAATCTGAAAACTGGGAATTGTTGCATTCCTACTTTTATAACTTAAACTACAGTAAAAATAGCATTCTGCCACAGGCCTCTTGCACATTCATACAGGAAAGTATCATTGCATTTGAGTAAACACAAAATACCTATCATAGCATTTCCAATACACACAGTCTAATATTATATATACCAAAAATAAGAAATAAACTAAGCAAAGCTAGCACACCTCTTTTTCAGACCTCAAGCAATCTGAACAAAGCTTTTAGCCTCAATAATGAAGGACATGCGTCAGTTTCATAAAACATTAGATAGCTGCTGTAGTTAAAGAAAGCTTTTCATAAATGCAGTGCAATATTTTAAAGTTTACATGAAGGTTATTAAATATAATAGCATGTCTAGAAACTAAATTGTAGAAATTGATGCCTCACAGCTGAAAACACTTAGAAAACTTATGCTCGCTTCTTCTTTAATGGAAATTGTTGTATTACCATGAATGAATATGGAGGTTGACATGTCCTCAAAGTATGTCTTCATGAATAATACATCAATATTAAAAGAAAAAATATATTTATTTTGATCATTTGAAATAAAAGGTACTCTCTGATAAGCACTCTACAAAGTCTTGCTACCAGCTGGTAAGGAGAATTTACATGGTATTTTAGCACCTCAAAAAAAAAAAAAAAAAGTCCCAGACACCTAATCTTACCTTGCATCTAAATTATGTATCAGGAACTAGTATTTTGTTTTTGTTGACTAAAATATAAGAAGCAGGTACCTAACTCTCAAACCTGGGAAGCCGGAAGTTACCTCTTCTTCAATACAATATGGTAGAAAACTCTCACCATTAAATGCAACTAGTCAACTCAGTCAAAACCACCGAGGCTCTCTAGTGCTCCCAGTCATGTGTGTTTCCCAACTATAATCTTAGATCTAAGGAGTCAAAAACGTTTTAGTTCTCATGAAAATATCAATACCAAAATGGTGATTTTCAAAGCTACCTTGTTTGAAATTGACTGCTGTAGACATCAAAGCAAGAGACATAAAATACAGCTTTAGTTATACTAAAGGTTTATAGAGGGAAAATATGTGCAATGTACAATCACTCCATGTTATTCCATGAGTTCAGGTGTGTGGAAATCCACTCTTTCCTCCTCCTTTTCTCTCGTTCTGGCAGTGGTGATCTCACATTTGAAAGAGTGTTTCTCACATTGGTCCTTTGTACTGGTTTCCAGACAGATGCTGCCTAATTCCAGGACACGAACCTGCAGCATCTCCAAGTTTCCTCCACACAACCTTTAAAAAAAAAAAAAAAGAAAAGCATCTTAATTATCCTCTTCCACAAACAGATGTGTGTTTTTTAAGGGGCATCTATGAGAGGGCAAAGAGGAATGTGGAGACAAGAGACAAAAATATCCACATGAATGAGCTCAAACACAAATGAAAAATGTGGTGCAAGCTTCTAAAGCACAAGAACTACTCAGCTGATGGGACCACTAGGCTTTGCTAGAAACCAGGGTCAAAAATAAAGAATGATGTGCCCACTTACTCAAGTTACATGAGTGATACTGAACTCTGTCTGCACACTGTGCACCTGGAGAACCCTCAAACAGTAGCTCCCACCCTCAGAGACTGACTGCATTGGTGGAGATGAGGTGCAAGCATCTGTATTTTTTAAAAAACTCCCAACGTGATTCTAATGCATAGCCAGAATTAAGAACCCTGCAGCAAAATCATCCTGGTTCCTATATAATACTTCTATAAAAAGGGATATCAAAGTGTTTAATCCACTAAGAAAAATAAAGAAGCTTTGATCTTGAGCTATTTAAGTCCTGCGCTGATAGCTTTAGGGCCACAAGTACATTTCCCTGTTTTTTCCCTGCAGAGCTGGGGGTGCAATCATAAATTTTAGCAACCAAACAGTACAATCTCTCAGATAACTAAAACAGAAAGCATTCAAATGCAGGGAAAAGATGAGAATATATTCAAGAATCACTGAAGGAGATACAATTACAGTATGTTAAAAATTGGGCCATTTTAGAGGGACAGTAGGAAAGGTAGGACTAAAACTGCTGAATTCACCAATGATACACAGTAACAATTAATTTTACTATATCAGCGTGTGTACATGCACACATGGTAACAGTCATAATTTTCCTAGAGTGTTTCACTATAAAAATTATGTTCCGATTGATTAATTCCACAAAAATTTACATGGCTCTAACATGAACACAAACCAGTTGGTTCATCAATTATTCATAGACTATCCTTCTTTGTGTTGTTTTCCTTTTCAAGAGAGTAGATACTCCAGAGAAACCCAGTAAGAATAATACAGGATTCTGTCTACTTTCATTTGTAAGCCAATGCAACTATTGGTCTTTACATTTTAGCAGATACTACTGTGTGGCAGAAATGTCCTGTCCTATTTGAAGAGAGTTGTAGTTTTATGGTCCTTAACTATTTGGAAAGGGATGTCATAGCTGTACACAAGGGAATTAACAAATTGACTGTGAAGAGGTACACACATCTCATTGGGAAGCCAAGGTAGCATGCCTTTCTAGCCCTTAACTTGTAAATATAAAAACATCTATACAGGATACTTTAAATTGGCTTAGAAGTGTAGGATAAACTCAGGACCTCAAAGAATCATAAACACAGAGCATTAGATAGTTACAATTCAAAATGCAACCCCTCTTCAAGTACTCAAATGTCAACTGCAGCGGGCTAGGTGGTGAAACACAGAGCAGGCAGAACTCTGAAATAAACCAGTGATGCTAAGGCAGGCAAAGAACCATGACCTGTTAACTGAGAGAGCAGAACAGGTTTGGTGTCTGAGATTGTCCTAGATGACCCATCAAGTATTTCAGCTATTCTCAGGGAATTCGTAAGCGTCAAACAGAGGAACCTAAGATGAAACTATTAATACAAAAGGATAGATTTACTATTTCTTAGAAATGAGTATATTTATTTCTAAGAAATGTGTTATTTTTCTGTATTCTCCAGTATTCACTTTGTGTTTTCGATGTTCATATAATTTATAATGGTGATGCAAATATTTTAAATGAGCACCTTTTTTCTCTTGCCTTTTAAGTAGTTTCCGAATGTATGAGTGTGAATTGTAAGATTTGGGCTGGCTTGTTTTTTGTTTTTTTCTCAAATTATGGGAATCAAAGACAAAAAGGGACAGTTAGAAAAGATTTCCTAGAGAACGTTTAAAGACAAACAGGGAGGGCAAACTTTTGGCTTCAGGAAAATATCTTCTATAGGGAAAATCAACAATACCAGTGCATGTGGCCTTTTGAAGCATTTTTGGAAATACAGGAAACAAAGATCAATACAAACTAATCAAGATATAATTCATTAATTAGTAGGTCTCTTCTGTGATTAAAAAGAAAATTTTCTAATGTCTAGAAAACTTTCATCTAAAATTTCAAAAAGACTCACAAAAAGAAACAATCCTGTCATTTGTTTACAGAATTTCTGGCATTAAGCACAATGGAGATGGAACATGCACTGCTTTTCATTCCTGAGGAGAGAAAACATAAGTCCCCAGATTTACCACACTAGGAAAGTGGAGAGAACTAGTCCTCAGAGGATATGTAGGTATACTCCTGCTCATTTGAGAATAATTAGAGCAAGTATTGGATCGGCCAAAAAGTCTGGTTAGTTTTTCCCTTAAAATAAAAGACACATTTTTTCATTTACACCAATAACTTTATTGATGTGGATATTTTGAGTATGTCGGCTATCTCCTGCTATTGGCTCCTAGTGGGCAGAGGCCAGGGGTGCTGCTGAACATCTTCCAAAGCGTAAGACAGCCCCACAGCAAAGAATTATTTGGCCAAAATGTCAATAGTACCAGGAAACTTCACAAACCATTTTTGAAATACTTGATCAGTTATAACACCTTCTCCATACACTGCACAAATCTTTTTTTTTTGCATTTCATTTGCATTTTTACCTTTCTTGAAATAGTAAAGCAGAATATGTTAAAATGTTGCATATTTTTATGCAACATTTCCATCTTCAATATTAAAATGGTTGCACAAAAATTCACCAATTTTGGTAAGTCTTTTTAATGCATGCTGATATGATAGCTGACACAATACAACCTAACAATTGTTTTAAATAAAGGTAAAGACAACTAAACACTACTAGAGCCATCACATGGAAAAATGTAATGGACTTTTTGGCCAACCCAATAATTAGAGTAATTAACAAATTTCAGGATCTTCACTTCTTCAAACACAAAACGTGAGTGTGGGGTTCTTAGCCAGTAGTTCCTATCCAGCCTGCCCATGGTTTGGGGTAATACCCAGACATCTGAATTATAAAGGAGCTCCACATACTACTCTGAAGAACCACTGAGGGATGACCTCTTGGCCACCTCTAGTTCTACAAGTCCTCATGTCTGAACTTTCTCATTCCACAGTCAACAGATGAGAAGCAATTCCTAAATTTCTCTGGAGGAAATAATTAAGTTGAAAACCTTAAGGACAGGCTGAAAAGCTACAGAAGGTAAACGGTGATGCACTTAGGAAAGCATGTCATCTAAAACTAATGACCTTTTGAAAACAGACAAAAACATATGCAAGAAAGAAAAAAAATAACTTGGAAAGGGTCGCAAAAGAAAAACAGCCACAACACAAACAAGCAGGAAACTAAAATGCTTTCCCCAGCACATACAAAATGCCCATGGGAGTTTGTAACACTTACTGGATTCCACGAAGACCTCAAAGAGATTGATAAATGTCTGAGAATATCACGTCTTAATAGCCTAAAGCTTAAGGGTATTTCTAAGCAATTTTTATATCCTAATAGACAAAGAATATAAGGCTAAAGTACAATCTATATAAAGCCAATTAAATTGAGTGATTAATATAATCTTCCATGATTTTTTTTGCTCTTAATATATTCCTTTACAATATTATATTTTCATTTAGCTTTTGATAAGATTAACAATTATATTCTTGATTAAATGATACATTTATGCATATTACTGAAATAATTAAAATTTAGTCAGAGATTAATTAAATTCAGACCACATAATGATCACATAGGATATGTATCATGAAAATAGCACGTCGATTTTTTTTTATTGCACTCCTCTAAGACCTCATAGATTTCCATGTGTCTATCTCCTGTTACCGTATTCTGAGCTTGTGTCAATGACTGAAAGATGAAGACACTCACTACTTTGCAAGACATGAGGCACACATATCATATGCATGAAGAACCTAGCAATTATTACCTGCTAAGAAGGTGATTTTTGCCCCTGGTTACAAATAAACCCAAAGAAATCTGTTTCCTTTCTTGCAAGTTTTTAAACACTGATCTTGAAGAAACTTCTCAAAAGTATGAAACAGAAACCCATTTGTTAGATCAAAACTAGTAATACATTTTAGACAATTTAATATTTAGAAACTTTCATAATTCTGGGATATATTGCCTGATTATCGCTTACCTGAAATATTTTATAACATGATTGTGTTAATAAAACTGCAATAAAATATACTAAAGGAAGAAAAAATAAGGGGAGTTGATTTTATTTTCATATAAATAATTAAGGTACTTCACCAGCATTTTTAAAGATAGGTATTCATGAAGCAATAACTAAGCTATGATGAGGCTTTCAACACAGAATACACAACAAAGCACATTAAACTTACATTGCACATTTCTCTGACTATAGCTTTTTCTGTCTCACTAAGGTCATGTTCATACTCTTTACCCTGTTGACGATCTATAGTTTCCTGAACATCCAAGACCTGGATTTGTTGAAAAAGAAAAGCAAATTTCACATGGAAAAAAAAAACTTGTTAGTTATAGAATAAAACCATCAAGGAGCTCCACTTTGTAAAACCTTTAGTTTTTTTCCATGTCTGCATATCACAGTGGATACATATATGCCAAAGTCATTTTAAAAGACTTCATTGTTGTGAAATCTATCTGGAATCAATTTGTTTGATTCCAAATGGTCATTAAAAGCAATCTATTGCATTGCTAAGAAAAAACTGAATTTATTAATGCCTAAAATAATTAGATGCATTTAGTTAATTGGGTCATTAAGATAATCTGACTGTGTCAATGATTTAGAAAGTCAATAATTCTTGCTCGACTGTAAAAATGAGCAATATAATTAATTTTACACCAAACAGTCCAAATGATATGTAGACATGGCCTATAGAAAAGATGACTAAAAAGATGACAGTGATGGAGAAACTGGTCAGAATTCAGCAATATGTACATAGGAACTTTTGTTAACATTAACACTACTGACCTCACCGTTCTTGCCTGGACATCCTCAGTGGCTAGGAAAGGAACGTGGAGACAGTTCTTTGATATCAGCAATGAGAAATACTGACTCCTCATAGTGAAAATGTTTGAGCAGCACTTTAAATATTTTTCATTAGAGCAAAATATCTAGGGATGACATGCTTTTAAACAATTTTAGATCCCATTTCTCTAAATTGCTGCTAATAGATTAAAAATAATATTCCTTTAAAAATATAAAGTTTTCATGTTAGTACTTTCTATAGTACAATACTTAGGCTTTGAATGCTGTTTGTTATTTTCCCCTCTCTGCTTATAAAGCAAAGTATTAATGTAGTGTTAAAAAAATAATGCCTTTCCTAAAAGTTCCTGTAGACTCCACCCTGACATTACTAAACTCCTTGTTCTGTAGTCCTCATGGTTAATGCGGATGGCCACACCTAAAGGTGTCACCTGAGAATTAGCACTAATGAACAGCTGAGCCAAAGTAAATGATTTAAGCAAGAAGTGGAACCTTCATATCAAATTAACATATATAGAGACTACATTGATATTTACTAGAGTTCAGTCCTGCTATAAATAGCCTAATTCACAAACTACTCTCTGGTTAACTCAAAACGTCTAGCCTGTTACTGTGTAGATAGTACTTCTTTGACATAGGATATAATGGCAGCCAATGTAAGCTTGTTACTCAACTCAGATTAGAGTCAGTTCACCTTCTCAGTGAATCTTCATAGGAAGAACCCTGGAACAAGCTCATTTACTTACAAATTCAATTTATAATGCACCTCAGAGAAGTGTATATCAAGTTAGTTAATTTCTACTAAATGAAACAAAGGTCCAATTAATAGCTATCATGAATTTTAACAGAAGAAAAATGGTGTTATTTTAAGTGAGCTAATTTCTCTGACTTCACTGACTTCAAACACTTCCCCTCAACCATGACCACAGAGTTATTAAATCCTAGAGGATTTTTTTGAAACCTATCATAAGAAACTGAACCATTGTTCTAATTACTCCTTTCAGAATAGAAAAAATCTTACAATATGAATCTGCTCTAGATTGGTGGCATTTAAAAACAGAACATGTTGAGTGGCTACATTTCTTTTTTCTTTTTTTCTTTTTTACATTGAGAAAGCCTTAACATGCATTTCCCAACGACTATGTTTGCACATACTTCTGTTTTAGACACAGTTAACTCATGGAAATAAACACATTCTGTATTTAAGAGCCTCCAGTTATCCAATAAAGGTACTTCAGTTGCTCAGTATTACCCATCTGCCAAGTGAGGACACTTAACGTGTTCTGATTATAACATAGTATCTTCCTCTCTAGACAGAAAATTTTATATGAAAATCAGAGAATGAATTCAGAGAAGGTTGAAGAGCTCTTCCTTGCCTGCCCCTTCCTTTTAGGCCATCCTAACAGAGGTAAATCGAGAAATTTAGGAAAGACTGCAGTGCAACACGCTACACCGATCTGATTCAAACTGCACGTGACATTTAATAAGGCAACAGGCTGAATCAGCTTTCTATTTGAAATGTAGGACAATGTGTTGCGTTGGGAGTATGTGCAGACACTAACACTACAGGACTGAAGCCACTCTTATTTTTTTCATTTCTAAAATGCGTTTCAGATAGCTAAGGCCTGGTTTAGGCTAAAGTAACAGCACATTTAACATGCTGTTCATGCTAAGCAGCATTCAAATGCTGTAGCACAGAGCAAGTGTTTTCAGTGGCTAAACTGGCACCCACGCAACGGAGGGCAGCACCGCTCACCCTGGTGTACCCTCCCAGGAACCCCTCTCAGTTGCTCACTTTGTGAGTTACCCCAACCAAGACAGGAAATGCCAAGGGCATTGCCACTGGCCACAGCATGCTTCTGCCGCCTTCCCTCGTCAACAGTTTATGCTGGGGAAAAGCAAACTCATTTAACCTCAGTGATGGCAAAGTAGAACAAGGGAGCTAAATCTGCTAAAACTAAATCAGCCAAATCAAATAAATATTTTGAAGCTCTCATCTACTTATTTGCTTTATGCATGCCAGGGAAAGTGTGGCCCACTCCAAAAGAATGCATCTTCATTCTGTTAATAAATCATTCTGAATTCAAAGCGATGTTAGAAAAATTGTGAAACTCATGTGGCAGGCACAGGACTGAAGCTCTCTACCTACTTCATGGCTCAGAAAGTTTCATCAAGGCTACATGTTACGGGTTATAGATAAGTTGAAGGACAGTCTTCCATACTTGGAAACTGATAAAACTTCACAGATCTGTCTCAATTTTAAGATGATTTTCATTGCCTGCACCTGTTTCTATTCTTAAATATTTATATTGTTTATTTATTATTGACTTGTGGTACTTATTATTAGTAATACTTATTGGAAAGCTCATTATTGGTAAAGAAAATTAAATAAATTTTAGCCAGGTTGGTTTTGAAGTCATTGCAGAATTTGAAGTAAAAGCCAAAAATAAAGTGGCTTTATAGAATATTAGATACATGGTCTTGCTCATAAAGTAGCATCAACTAGTGTTTGAAGACCTAATTTCTATTTAGTGGAGAATAGAGTAAGTTTTTGTTTGTTTCAATATTTGCTTTTAATAAGTTTCACAATGTATTTCAATAGCATAAAGAAAGAAAAAGATGGTATCCTTCCTTCCTCTGGCCAACTGTTAACTCCCTATATTTAAAGACATCCACACTACAGACATTGCACACAAATACCTGTAACAATATTTTACACATATGAATATACGCATGCACATCAGACTTCAACTCGATGCAGATAATGAATCACATTACTCAAAATAAAATGATAACACTAGAGATTCAACCATAAGTTCTCAAACCCATTGTTATTTGAAAAGATTAAAATTATACTTCAATAATTAAGATAAAGTTATACCATTAGGGCTCAAAAATAAAGTATATATGGTTAAAACAAGACTGTGAGGACTACTAGACTACAGCAAACAAACCATGACACAACTGAATTTCTTGATAAATGGTTGTACACAGTTGGTTACCTTAAGAGAATGTACCACGGGTTCAGGCTGCTGAGAAGGTGTGGTATGTCCACTGAAGCTAGCTGGAGAGTTGGGTGAACTGTTATTCCCATCAGCCCCTGATGACAACCTAAAAGAACCCTTAGTAGAAAATCAACAACTTTGTTATTAAAACAAAAGTCGTTTATAACTGTATAGATGTCATTCAATTTCACTGCCAAATGAGAATTAGCCATTTTGTTAATTTTTTTCCAAGCCTGTCCTATAATACTATCAATTTATTAATCGGAATACACTTGCTGCTTGACCATCAAGAAATTAACTAATAACTGTCTCTATGAATGTCCAAATGTCATTTCTGATTTACCAAGAGAGCAATGCCCCCTAAGGAATGGCCATTAAACATTTCAAGAATGATTTTTGAAACTTAAAGATACTCAAGAGCAGGGAATTTGTGAGTTGTTCCACAGCTAAGTTAAACATGCTCATTCAGCAAGACAAATGCCATTTTCCATATGTCTCAGAAAATGCAGACACATCACATTCCGGCATTGGAAAGACTCTCTTACAAAATGCTTGTTTGAGGGGAGACCTCCAGTGGAACATATTCCAAAGAGATTTAACCAAACTCAGTATTTTCTTTAAGGAAAAATTCTCTTTATTTTCCGGTCTTTTTTGAAATGAAAAACAAAATAGAAATTACATATTTGCAGTTTAGTGACTCTGCAACTTAGTTGGTGAGAAATCAGAACCTGGCATGATTAATCTTGACCTGTGAGAGTCACAGTCACCCAAACAGGAAATGGGAAAAATACAAATAATAACTACCTTTTCTAGGGACTGCTTGGAGAACAACTGCCGAATCAGGAAAGAAAAAGAGCAGCAGAGATTTATGCTCCCACAAAAAGCAGCCTAATGGGAATTTCCAAATCTGTTTTCATGGTGGTCATTACACTCAAAGGGCCTGGTAGATTTTAATTTCTGTCCATCAACAAACCTACAGATGTTTTTCATGCTTAATAGACTAGTAACTGCTCCATTTATCTTGATCCTGAGAAGGAGCATCATGTGTGGATTCGTAAATGGAAGAAACAACTGTGGTTTTGGACATTTATTTTCCAGCGTCTGTAGGAGCGCTTCAACATTGTGCATTTTAGGGATGGGAAGGAGAAGCTGAGTGCAGCAACAGTTTTAGGTAGGGGTTTTATGCAAACAGTGCTATTTTTAAAGAAATTGACAATTCCCATTGATTTTTACAAAAATTATTATGAAGCAATTTGGAATATCTTCTCTCTTTCCTTATTGCTGTCATTTCTTGAAGGTATCCTTGCCACAGCACAAGCCAATGGAAGCCGTGTTCATATCCTTGCTCAAAGAGTTGTGGAAACAAATCAGGCCCTGCCCCCACCCTCTCTAGGTACCAGGGAGAATCAGCCATAGAAAATGACATTAAGGTGACCTCTCCAACCTCTCCATGCCTACTAATGATCAAATTAATAGGCCCAGTCCCCCCACCCTGGGAAAAAATATTTATAAGATTTCCCTGTATTTGTAATTCAGAACAAATCAGACATAAGAGCACCCGATAGAAACAATAAAAGGGAAACTATCTGAAGTTTGTTAATTGGGCACACCCTCCCTCCAACGCCACCACCAAATTTTGGACATCCTCTTCCTCTGTAGAGATCAAATGTTTCCAAAACAAAGGAATAATAAAGGAAGGTCTTCTTCCCTGCATAGCTCTAGTCCTCTACTATTTTCTTCCCCTACTATTACCAACCTTCTGAACTCTCATGAAAAGGCTTCTGAGGTTATGCAGAGTTCACTTCAAACCTCTCATTTAGGACCCACCAGTGCGTTCTGTCCTCCCTTTGGCCGGCAGTCTGACTCGGCAGGCAATGATCGCTCCCCCTCCGGGGTACCCTCCTTCCCATCCTTTTCAAAGCCTTTCCTGCCCAGCTCTTCTGTTTCAAAGGTGCCCCTCCCAGACCTGGCCAATGGAAGATATAACAATCCCAGTATGCTTCTGCGTGGGAATGGGACCTCTATATTTCAGGGCATTTTGGTTTAAGAAAATTTCTAAAATCAATGACGAGTGGCTTCCCTAAACCAAAACCTCTGGACAATTTAGCACTGTTTAAACTTAAGGGGAGTCATGTTCTACCATTATCTCCTCAGAAAATAAGTATTCCTTTATTAAAGAAGTTTCCTTAGAATAATAATAAAATAATAATAAAGGTTACGGTAGGAAATACACAGTGGGGGAAATTTATCATTGAGGGATTAAAGTTTATTTCAAACCCACTTTGTGAGCCATGGACTAATAATCACAGGGAGGAACAAGGTTCATGGTTTATGTGGTTTTTGTGAAGCCACAAAGGTAGCCAAGTACCTGCTAAAAGTGTGCACCAAGAGGTGCTGAACAATTTTCTAGATTGTATCAGACTGAAGAACCTCATTCTAAGACATCTCACTTAGTTACTATAAAATAAAAGATTACATTTCTATGTACTTAATAGAATCAGAGAATTACCTAGGTTCAATAAATACATACTCTGTTGACTAGTGTGTTTTCACTAAAGTATTTTTTAAAATATGCTACTGAGTGAAACAAATCATTTTAAACAGTCTCGAAGTTTTTTTCAGTAAGATTAAGCACATTTATTTAAATTGTAACTTGGCTGGTGCAGGCGACAAGGAATTTAAAAACGGGAAAATCTTAGTGAATTTGGAAATGTGACTCCCAAATCCACAGTGGCTTATTTTCAAACTGCATGTGATCACACAGTGCTTCACCATCTCTTGGGTCATTGGTCAATTTGAAAGGGCAAGGAGTAATTTCCTGGCCTGGTCAACGGACATCTGACAGTGCCTGACAATTCATTTTCATGGCCAATGACTTCTTAAATTGCTTTTCATGAAAGGTACAGGCTACCTTTGTTCTTCGACAGTGTTTGGAATTACTCAGCTTTCACCCTCAGGTTTAGGGGAAATAAAAAAAAAAAAAGACTAGAGATGACGGTTTAGGAGATGAAAGACTCTACTCCCACTTTCCCTCCCCAGATTAGACACACAGCAACTTTCTTTTCATGTACACAGACTCGTTCTCGACCCCCCAGTATGACTCTTCCTCTAGCAGCGGAAGTCATCTGGTTACGCACAAGCAAAGGCAGCAGCTGGCTCATCTTCACTCACCGGGAGAGTGGGCAGGCATCGTCCTATTCCTCGGCACCCTTGCCACCACTGCAAGACCCGCCGGGCTCTGGGCCCCCAGCCTTTCTCCATATTTGAGCTGTTTCTAGTTGGAGGTTGCCTTCTATTCTGGGTGGCCTTATATTTGGAACAATATAGTACAATCACTCAGAAAAATACTGTTTCCCAAGTCTCAAGAAAGCAGATAGAACAAGAAGCTTAATGAAATGAACCACAATGACCACAATGGCAAGCTGTAACATGCACCTCAACTAGGGAAAAATTAAAATAAAAACAAACACATCTATGTATAAGAGCTAATACTGATTTTTTTAAAAAAGTTTTTGGCAAAGCTGTAACTAATTCTCAAACTATCAAAAAGTGGTAAATGATAATGCTAAAGGTAAACAAAAAAAAATTAAAGCTACTTAGACAAATTTATTTAGTGGGTTTTACTTGTGAGAAGTAGAGAAGTACCGTAAGTCTTCCAAGTATTTAGAGCAGTATAACTTTAGAACTTAACAGAAATTATTTGAAATGCATTTGGGAGCATGATCCCCTTTCGTTAAGAAGCACAAATTGGGTAGATATATTCAGCGGCACTCAAAAACTGATGCTGCATCAAAGTCTCAACAAAATATCTGCACATTTATAAAATACAGGGTAGGGCAAAAGTAGGTTTACAGTTGTTCATGTGTAAAATACTACAATAACAAATAACACAAGAACAAATTGTTTCGTGTTCTCACAATTGTAAACCTATTTTTGCCCTCCCCTGTGTGTATGAGCTAATGCATCACAGTAATTGTTTTACATGGGACCTATATATAGTTATCAAAATGTCTATTAATCAAGTTAACCCCCAAATTTCTGTACTAGTTGGAACTACAACTAAAATAAAAATACAAAAAAATTTTCCCTAGATTTCAGGTTTTTCCCATGAAAAACTAATTCTATTAAAATGATTAAAACTAAAATGAACTTATTTGAACATAATTTCCTCTTCCTGCCAACTTTTACCAACACCTTTAACTAAGAAAGCTATGTCCTAAGGAATACTAGGAATTTTAAAAATATGAAAAATTCACAAATAGTCTCCAGATTCCAGTGTCTACATATTTAATTTCATGAGACAAAAAAAAATGAGAACATAATATTTTAGTTTTCATTGATCCATTTCCCTAGAAGTGTGTGCTCCACTATGAATAGTAATGGTCTAATTTTCACTGTTCTCTGACTTTTGGGGGCTGAATTAATAAAGGAAATGTCTTAAGTGAAGTAAAAATGAGGAGCAGTGATAATCACAGTTGTTACCCACAAAACTCCATTCTAAATCTATGAAATCAGTGCCAGTTATCTATTAAATAAGTCACATATTCCTCACATAGAACAAAGATAATGATACATTTGCACTTGGAACATAATGATCATTTCATCACAGCAACACCGATTGAACGTTGCTCTTTCCTAATTTATTTCCACCATCAAAAGAATTATATCCAGTAATTTATAATGACTGATGGCATAAAATTCACATCTCCCCCAAACATCATAGTTCTATTTCTGAGGTGATCTTTATGAGAGATGCATTTTTTTTTTTAAACAAATGAGTTCTAACTTCAGGATTTGATTCTCTCCATGACTTGCATATCTCTCAGATCTTTCATTTTTCAGATTCAGCAACTGGGTAAAACATAAGAATCCCTACTGTCATTCTTCCCTAATGTGTAATGAGATTAAATCCCAATACCCTTCCACTGTAACAAAATTTATCATATCCATGAAATCTAAGGTAATATCTATAACCAATTAGAAGCAGCTGGAAAGAGCAGCCATTTAGCTACTACGTAGACAACATACAATATTTTTTCACTTTCAGAAAGCACATAAAATGTGAAATAAGCATGCTTTTTCAGGATCTCGTGAAAGGCTCTTTTTAAATATTATATGTAGATTGTATAATGTTATTAATCTCATAAGAGGGGGCAACATACACAGGCCAGATTTTTGGAAAGAATAAACTATTTGGTGATATAAATATTTTAAAGGAAAAGGTACTCTCTTTTAGAATCAGGCTTATTGATTGACTTCTACTCAGGTTGACAATATGGTTGTTTTGTTTGTTAATATTGGTCCTGGAAAAGCATATTGGACTGGCCATGATTTTTGACCATCAAGTAAACTAGAGCTGCCAAATGGTATTTATATACTAATGAAGGCTTAGCTCTTTGCTAGCTCTACATTGTCAATCACACTATTTTCTGTAGACCAGCATCTACAGAGGGGAAAAAGAGAGTTACTAGGCCTCCAAGGAGTCGGTGCTTGGAATTGTTGCTGGCAACTTTGGAGCTCAAAATGGTGGAAACACAGATTTTGGCCATCAATTAGGACAACTCCAAATGACCTTAACAAAGTCACTGTATTTTCTGAGTAATTCTGTTTTGTTTTCTGCAGTTTTCCAAAATTCTACCTTTATGAAAAAGATTGCCTGAATAACCCTATCATTCCAATAGAAGCCTGAGTACTCAAGTACTCAGGTATATAACGTAACCCACAAATTATTGTAGATATCAGGACAGTCTACACTAAATGCTAATAGCAAAGTAATATTCTGCATCAAGACTGTGTCAGGGGTAAATTACAGATTACTTACCATGAGGTAAGTCATCATAAAAATCCTGAATTCTAATGCTATAAGCCCCAGCCTGGATCAGGAAACAAAACCCTTTCAAAGTGTCACTAAAGACGATAAATATATTGGTTCTGCTATCCCTCTTATCACATCATACCTGGAAAATCTTCCATGAAAAGTGAGATTTAAGACATTTTATAGTATTGTCCTGAAAATAATTGATTTCTTAAAAGTTAAAAAAATGAAGTCATTCAATTTTTTAAGAGCTCTAAACAAACAAAAAAAAAATGTTACTTATAGTCTCACAGAGTAAAGTACTTACAATTCACAGTATGAATTTTAAGAACTTGCAGGATGAAGCTATTGTAAATAATTTGTCTTCTTGCTATTTATGGTTATTTTATTTATTGCTATTTTAGTAACAGTATTTTAATTAATACTTTGGAAGTTTCCATCTTTTTGCCCTGTATAAGCACATATTTAAACAATATCAGGAATAACAGAATAATGTTTTTATATTTTATTACATGAAATACAGGCTTCCTGTTTATTTTTTTCTTGATTTGAGAGAGAAACATTGATTTATTGTTCCACTTATCTACGCATTCATTGGCTGATTCTCATATGTGCCCTGATCATTCTCTAAGCAACTGAGCTACCTGGCCAGGGAGAGGCTTCCTATTTAGATATAGATCACACATAGTGCACTGGTAAGAAACTAGAGCTCAACCTCTTATCTATTATAGGAAGCCAACTATGGAAGTCTGAAAATTGATCGGCTAAAGTGGTTTCCTGTTAGTTAAAGATGTTTAATTTTTTATAAGTCCTGAAGGTAGGTCAAACTATCCTACCTCATCAGAACGCATACCTAGTTTAAGAGAGGATGAATTCAGTCTTTCCTTATAGGGCAACAGCAGATGGTTTGATTAATCTCATCAGGAAAATAATATTTTGTTCAATTTTACCAGTCTGCATTCTGACATTTTGTAGAACTGCAGTACCACACAAATCAAAGCTCAGATTAGAAGAGACTTTTAAAGGTCACCTTGACAAACTTCTCCCAAAGGATTCCTGTGAATAGGCTTGGTAATGATAAGAGACTCTTTGCTTTGCTGTAATAGAGATTATTTAGTTGATTGTATTTTTTTTAAGTTTATTTTTTAATTTAACTAAACTGAAGATCTATTCAATACTGATTTAGAACATTAATTTCCTGGCTTTATAGATATCCATTTATTCTCTTAAATAGTTGCTAAGCACCTATCAGAGATAATATCCCATGCTATGTGAAGTAGGTATCTATTTCAATGTTTGTTGAGAGAGCACAGTGAGTTCAGCTCATTGACTCTAGGGTCACAGTGCCTAGGTTCAGATTTCTGATCTGATGCTTAGCAACTGCATGACCTCCCTGTGCCTCAGTTTCCTCACCTATAAAATGTGGGTAATAAGGATGCAATTATACCTCACTCTATAAGCTTGATTACTTATATGAAAAGATCTCTTAAAACAGTTCCTGGCCCACATTAAGTGCTCTATAACAGCTATTTTCAACCTTTTTCATCTCATGGCACACAAAAACTAATTACTACAGTTCTGCAACACACCCAAAAAATATATTTTTTGCCATCCTGATAAAAAAATGGTAGGTATAATTTTGATCCATTCACACCAGATGGCTCTTGTTTTATTGGCTGCTGTCATTTTCTAATGTGACAATCTAAGGGAAAAGGAGGTCAGCGCCCCATATTAAATAGTCAGGGATTGCATATTTTAAAAGTTCTTGTGGCACACCTGTGTGTCTCTTGCATCACATTGGTTTAAAACCAGTGTTCTGTAAGTATTTGATGTCATCATAAATGTTTTTGCTTTGCTTGTCAACCCACTTTATAACTTTGTCAACTTGTTTTCAGGTGTTTATTATTTAGTACAGTCCTTAACTCGAGGTGATTTGGCCCTCCAGGGTGGACATTTGGCACAAAAAGTCTGCAGGTATTTTTAGCTATCAAAACGATGTAGCTTCTGGGGGCATTTGGTGGGTCGAGGAGCCAAGGTTGCTGCTGCACGTCTGACAGTGCACAGGACAGTCCACACCACAAAGAAATATCCCACCCTCCCACCCCAAATGTCAATAGCCCTGGAGTTGAAAAAGCCTGATTTAAAGAAAGAACTATTTTGGAAAACTGCAAAGCAAAATTTCTGTTGACAGCTCCATAGCCAATTTTGCCTATGAGGACAAATCATCAACATGGTTTGGAGCTTGTAATTTTAAAGAAAACTCTCTACGCTTCAGCCCTCAAGTGGTCTAAGTATAAAGACATCCATATTTCCACCTCCAACTAGGAAATTACTCTTTCTAACAGAAGGAATAGAATTAAAAATATCCAAAACATCCTACTGCAACAACGGTAGCAGAATACAAAATGGGCCAGTACCAGAGGGTGGTCCACAGAAGAAATTGCTCTCCAAGTGGAGAGACGGAGAACACTGCAGCACCTTGAAAACCGAG